ATAGTGCACAGGACTGGCCCCACCACAAAGAATGACCTGGCTGACAATGTCAGTGTGAGGCTGAGGAACCCTGCTCTATTGTGAGCATCTGAATAGACGTGGTGCAACTCAGTTAAATGGGGCTGACAGCTGTCATCCGCCCTCCACATCCAAGGAAAGCAGACAGAATGCACCTGCAAAGAGAGAAAATAATGAAGAAGTCGTACAGAGACGAGTGGAGCGTAGAGTTTTCTAATGCCTGGCTTCCAGCTCCTTCCACACTGACTACACTTTTGTCCTTCGTCCTTCTAATAAATCCCCCCTTTATCCTCGAGATAGCCTGACGTGGCTTTTGTTACTTGAAACCAAGGTTATTTAAACTAATAGAAAAAACATTCCAGTGAATGATTTTAAAGTGACCTAAGAAACGTGAAGGCTTGGGCAGCTTAGAGATCATTCCAGTCTAGGATGGAACAAGTAAATCATGATATGAGCCTGCTGTCATTGCTTTTCCTTGACAGCCAGGCTGTGTCCTCACAACCTCTCTGCAGTTAGAGGCCAGAGTAAGTTGAAGCTTTTCGAAGGGCAAGGGGATCTAGAACATGCTTGCACTGTGCTTAGGAACTTTTCGGAAATTGGGACACTTGACACACCTGCTTGGCCACTATACCTGAAACCCCACCCAATCCTACCAACCCAACGCCTCTGCATTCCAGAGAGCTGCTACTAATTCTGCTTGCTGATTATTTCTGTTTTGCAGAGTATTTTGTGTTGGTAGGATCATCATCAGTCTTGGTACTGATTTCATTTCTCTATACACAGAAATTCAGTAAAAGTTGTGATGTAGGGTAAGCCACTGAAATGGTCTTTGATACTCAGTTTCTTCCTGGAAGTCATATTTGTCTTTATCCAAGTCTTGGGAACACTGTGAATTCATTCCTTATCCATATGTAGAGCTTTGACAAGTAGAATATGGCAGAAGGGATGCTTTGACGGCTCCTGGGCTCAGGCCTTAGGAGACCGGCAGCTTCCATTTCTCATTTCTTGGAATGTGTACCTTGGGAAGACAACTACCATACTTTGACAAGGGCAAGCCAAGTGGAGTGGAAACACAGACATAGCTGCTCTTGTTGACAGCTCTAGCTAAGCACCCAGCTGACAGCCAGCACCAACCGCGAGCCATGGGAGTGTGCCGTGCTGGATGTCCAGTCTGGTCGAGTTTCCAGATGACCCCAGCCCAGTTTACAAATCCATATAGGCCCAAGCAGTTCCCACACATCTGACCCCATTCAACCCACAGAACCGTAAGAGATAATAATATATTATGAATCCACTAGCGGGTTTTTTTTAAGCCACTAAGCTTTGGGGTGGTTGGTTAAAAAGCAAAAGAAACTAGGAATAGATGTGGGAGGAGAGAAAGAAGACAGAATCAATGATGTTATCTAGAATTCTGGGTTAGACCCAGGGTGGAGCCAGTCACTACTAAGCTGGAAATTGGGAGCCAGAGGAGCACTTTGTGAGTGTGGGTGGGTGTGGGTAAATGAATCCATCATAAACTAGGAAATACTTATTCGGGGGAATCTAATTAAATGTTTTCCCCAGATATGTTTTATCTTCAGCATTAGCTTTCCAGATGTTAAACAGATTTATATTTTATAGATCTCTATCTTTAAAACCCTCTAAAGTATTAATTTTAGTATCTTCTGCATAAGAAAATCTGCCCTTCTCAAAAGTTATCAAGAGGAACTGGTACGATTTTGTCACATTTAGTCCTTGTTGCTCTAGGGATTAACTTCCAGGTGTCTTATTCATTCATCAAATATTTACTCCTCATCTGCTACATACAATAGCATCATTATGCCAGGTAGGACTTCTCCTGGGTGTTAGAGCCATGATTGTGCACACGATAGATACCGTCCCTGCCCTCATGGACTTTACATTCTGATTAGCAGGCAGACAAGAAACGAGTATAGAGTATAATTAGCAATTTGATACAAATCAATTCAAGAAATAAGCAGGGTGCTTTTAGAGAATAAAATTTGAGGTGAAAACTACTTTAGAGGTGGCCAGGGAAGGTTTTCATGTAGAAACTGAAGGAAGCAGAAAGAAGCAGCTGTGAAGTATATGTAGGAGGGGAAGTGAGGCTTGGTAGTTACGGGACCCACAAGAGTGCAGAGGACCTTGGGTGGTTAAAAGCTTGACCAGATTCTAGGAACCGAAAGACTAGGGTGTCTGGAGTGTAGCAAACAAGCAGCATACAGGATGAAGCTGGAGAGAGATACCCGGTTAGATTACACAATACCTTTTAGGCCATGGAAAGGGGGTTGCATTTTATTCTAAATGCAAAAGGTAGGCAGAAGCATGAACAGGATCCGATTCACATTTTAGGAAGATAATGGTCACCACAGACGGAAGGGAAACTGGTTGAAAAACCCTGTGATACAGGGATTCAGGACAGAAAGACGGCCGGGACTGGGGTTCACTCTGATATCTTCCTTGGCCTCAGTCTCTCCTTCTGTAAAGTGTGGGTGAGGGCTCAGTACAGAGACCAGCACTGATTCCCAAGCACCCAGGTCTAAATTACCATCATACTGGACTCTTGCTTTGTACAAAGACTTGAAATAACTTTACGACAGATGGTATTTTCCACTCCTCTCCACCAATCACCCACTTCCCCCAAACCTAAGTTTCACTCTGTTAGAAATACACTGAACCGTTTAGCGGCTTTCAAGCCCCTTTGCTGTAAACAGCATTTGTTGTCTAGCAAGTTCCTTGGCAACTGGAATCGATGAGGTTGGAGACCCTAGAGCAGGCGCAGAGTTCGGGATTGGCCCAGTTGTTTTTGTTTCTGGTTTTGTTTGTTTTTTTGTTGTTGTTTTGGTTTTGGTTGTGTGTGTGTGTGTGTGTGTGCGCGCGCGCGCGTCCTTCCACAGGGCCACGGGACTTGTACCGTCAACAAGCTAAACTTCAGTGTAAGGGATCAGGTTGAAGAGCCTCATTAGCCTTAAATTCTGATCCCTTACCCAATGCCTTGAAGTTTCTCATGAACTCCACCTGAATATTGATAAATTACCCTTCACTTAAAACATGGCAACGTAATTCAGCAGGTAGGCTCAAAAGACTTCAGAGGTTGACGGCAATACATGAAAAAGGCTCTTTGTCGTTATTGCTAGTTTTTATTTTTTACAAAGAATTTTTAAAGTAGGCTCCATGCCCTATGTGGGGCCCAAACACAACCCTGAGACCAAGAGTTGCATGCTCCACTGACTGAGCAAGTCAGATGCCCCAAACATTTTTTTTAAGTATTCTCTAAGCCCAATACGGTGCTCAAACTCCTTACTCCTAGATCGAGAGTCACATGTGCTACTGACTGAGCCAGGCTGAACTCGTTTTTGCTAGTTTTAAAAAATGGGTCAATATCCCATGTCAGTTCAAAAATATAGTGTTGTGAAAGTAGGCAGAGCTACCCCTTTCCCCTCCCATCTTCTCCTCCCAGGGTGTGAGGACAAAGTGAAAAGACAACTAGAACCAGGAAGCAGGCCCTCACCAGACACACCTTGCTTTTCCTTGGTGCCTACAGAACTCGGAGAAGTACATTTCTGTTGTTTATAGGTATGTGCATATACATGTGCGTATACTTGAAAAGCAACAGCTGGACCTTCTTCAAACATCTGTTGAACCCCCACTGGCACATAATGGGTTCAGCAGTCAACTCTGCACTTGATTTTTGTCTACTTAGAGAAACTCATTTGGTCACTAATGTACACAAATCCAACTAAGGTATGTAAATTTAAACTGCCCTGCTCCCCCCTCCCCCACGCCCCCCCAAAGGTCCACTGTCTGGTAGAACACTTTCTTAAACTCTTTCCGGGGCGAAGAAACATTGTCCATAACACTGTTCTGTTATTTCCGGAATCTGAAGGATTGAAGCATGAAGGAAGTTCTTCTGTCCACCGAGATTCTCTTTGAAGAGCTCTTATCCAGCTGTGTTTGGGAGTAAATCTAGAAGGAAACGCCAACTCTTTCCTGAGTCTGCAGACCTATCACGGGCTGAAAACACAGGCTGTCCAAGGCTTTAGGGAAATCACCCGTCTACACGGCCCCCGAGGGTCTATTCTCTGGTGGAGAACACAGGCCCCTCCTGACATCCGTCTCCTTACCCAAAGCTGGAGATTCCGGTGGGGACCCTGCAACAGCTGGGGGCGGCGGTGGGGGCTGGAGTAGGGGCGACGGCGGGCAAACGAGGAAGGCATGTACCGTCGGCTACAATTTCCACAGCCGCTTGAGCTACAGCTCTCAGGCCTGCTTCCCAATCAAACCTGGACTTCCCCTACATTTCCGCTAAGGGTTCCTTCCTAAAAAAAAATCAGATTTTTTTCCTTCTCTTAAATTTGCTCAGGCCGCGCACGCAAAACGCAGGGCGGGAAGTAAGAAAACACGTGTGATTTCTGAGCTGCTTAAAATACCTCGGGTCCTTTTTTCATTGAGAAAAAGGAGGCAGGACGGAAAGGAAAACAAAGCAGGCTGCCAATGGCCGGGGGGCAGCGGCGCGAGCACTCGGGGCCGAGGCCTGCACCACCCTCGGTGCGTAGCCGCCGGCGGGAAGGCGGGAGCGCGGGGCCCGCGGCCCGCTCCGGCGCACGTGGCCCGCACGGGCTCAAAGTCCAAGGGCGCCGGGAGGTCTCGGGGCCCCGGGCGGGTCTCGGGTCCCAAGCCACGGCGGGAGCAACGACGGGACCGCCGCTCTCCGGCCGCCCGCCCGCTCCCAGCCGAACGCCCTCAAGGGCCCGCGCGCGGGCGCCCCCTCCGCCCCCAACCACGGTGGCAGCGGGCCTGGCGAAAGACCGGAACCGCTAAAGGCACAGCCCGCCCTCCTCTCGCGAGACGTGGGAGAGGAAGAAGGTTGGTCGGGCGATGGGAGCACAGCCAATGAGAGAGCGGGAAGGATGTGATCGACGGCCCTCCGAGCGCCTTCTCTAAGTCCCTCCCCGGCTGCGGAGGCCCCCGTCGCCGCCCGCAACCCCCCCCGTCTTCCCTCCCCTCCCTGCCCAGCTCTTCTCTTCCCGTCTGAGGTGGCGGCCGGCGTCCCTTCTCTCCAGCTCCGTTTCGCCTCTAGCCCTGGCTTCCCGTTTTGCTCGGGCCCCGAGACCGGTCTGAGCGCTCCCCCTGTCGCCTCAGGGTGGCCGAGTAGCCCCGGGCCCCTCGAGTCCCTGCGTTTTCTCCCTTCCTGGGCTTCGGTGCTGGTCCTCCCCCGCCATGAATGAGGAGTACGACGTGATCGTGCTGGGCACCGGCCTGACGGTGAGTTCCGGGCGGCGGGCCCCGCGCCCCCTCCCCGGACCCCCTCCTCGCGCCCCTCCCTGCCGCCCGCGCCGCGCGAGCCCGGGGCCCACCCCGCCAGGCCGGGCCGCGCCGCCTCCCGCCGGGCCCGGCCGGCCTCCGAGCGGGGCCTGCGTCGCGCACGCTGCCCTTGCGGACGCGGCCTGTGGTCGTCGTTGGGGGCCGTGCTCTGCAGGGCGCTGGGGCGGCAGGCGACGGGCGCGTCCCCGGGCGTCCGGGCCTGCAGCAGCGCCCAGGTGCCCGTGCTCGCGGCCGCAGTGGGTCGTCCCGAAACGTGGACCGAGACACCGGGTCATGGAAAACCCGGTCCTGGTGGATAAGGACAGGTTTTCGCTTTGCTGGGGGGGTTAAAAAAAATCCCGATTGGGCTGTGGGTACTTCTCCACCTCCCTTATGGGTTGACGGCCCCTCCCGATTGGAAACGGAAAAGCACCAGGCAGCGTGGGGGAGGGTGGAGGCCACTCTCTGGCGTTTCCCACTCAGACTTCAGCCACTCGGGCTCATCCGTCTTTGGCTGCCAGAGCCAGGCAGAAGATTTTGTGACAAGTCATCGGATAATCACCGTTTTGTGCTTGATACAGCTCGGTAGACTTAGGTTTGGGGAGAAAAATTGGCCTTTTATCCCCGCGCCCATTTCAGATGAGAAACATTATGCGTTCCTTCAAACGGCCCTTTCAGCCCACTTTTTGAGCATCTGTAGAATTGGAAATGAGTTTTCTCAAAACTCATCTATCCAATGCTTTCCCCGCTGACCTTTGCTATGTTTTCCTTTTGTTTGGCCTGTTTCCTGCCTCCATTGTGTCTTCTGGGGGCTTTCCCCTAAGAAACGGGTAGCTGATGGATTGATTGCTGTGGAGGCCAAGTTCTCGACTGCTGACCAGTCCAGAGGCCGCCGTGTGACTAGCTGAGCCGCAGTACCAAATAGAGGAGCTCACTTACCTAGAAGACCAGGGACTCGTTTTGAATGCGAGGGATTTGGTTGAATTTCTTTTTCGGTGGTGAGTTGGCCGGCTCCTGGATACCTCAGTGAACAGGCCTACCTGCTGTTAATTTTTTTTTTTCAATTAATGTTTTTATAAGGTGTCCAAGCTGTGCCGCCGTTTTTCGTCAATTCGTATTTTTAAAGTGTGTGATTGGGATTCCAAGCTGAGCTGTGTAGCTTGTGGAGGGCTTTGCGGATTGGGACGGGCGCCGTTGCTGCCCGCCTGTTGTAAGAGCCCGTTCTGTCTTCCTGCGGTTATTGCTGGTCTTTCAGATTTGCTCTTGATTAGGTCAGTTGGATGTGGACAAAACGAGTGCAGATCCCTCTTGCAGGTTTCGACACACCTGGTTCAGAAGCGCCGGTTTGTGTCAAAGATAACACGGCCCTACTGGGTTAATGACCGAGTTAAGATGATGCATTTTATTTAAATATTCATTTGGGTTGATTGTGATCTTTTTGATGAGTGGTAGAACTAGAAATCAGACCAACTTCTGCCTCACTCCACAGCTGGGATAGCTTTAGCCCCTGTGAGCCTTCTTAGATTGTTGTCTCTGATGTTCTTTGAGAATTCTCCCAAATCAGAGCGTCCACGATCATTGATAGCAGCGGTGGTGACAGGAAGACTGGACACTGGCAAATCTTGTACCCTCGTTTCTGGTGACGCAAGGACTGCTCAAAGGGAAATGAGACCACCCTGAAATCAGTCACACTTGACCAAGTATTTGGAGTGAATAATTTTAATTATTTAATTTAACTTAATTTTGTCTTAATTTTTTGAGTATAAATATTTAGTGCCTGAGGTTTAAGAACCTAAAAACAGGCATGCGCTGTCAGTTATGGGTACCAGATCCTGCAGGTTGGCAGTGTGTCAAGTACTTTCAGTGCTACTAACTTGTTACTTTTAAAGAAAGTATCAGAGTTTGTTGCCTAGTGTTGGCACTGTTTTGTATTAGTTGTTCCTTCTAAATGAAGGTCATAGTGATCCCCAAATGTTGATGGTAACTTTATTAAGACATAAAATGTTAACTTAGAACAAAATCATTCTCTGCTTCGGAGAAATGAATAATGTATATAACTGAATTTTCTAAGGAATTGAGGCTTATCCCTTTAAAGAACCACAGCTCTCTGATAAAAGCCTTTCCAAGTGACATCACAACTTCTTTAAAAAACTAAGGAACGTAATTTACTTGGTAACTAAGATTCCACACCATGAGAATTAATTACTGTGTTGTGCGGTGACCTGACAACGCCATTGAGACCCCTGGTAAGCTTGGCCCTCGTTATTAAATGGTCCCAGACTGCCTGCCTTTGTGAGCGAGTTAGTTCTGGAGTCTGCTTTTTGTTTTCTTCCCCCTCCCTTACTTTGCTCTTAGACTGGGGACTTTGACTTTTTTTTGACTGCAGTGTATATAGACCACATCTCACCACCTAGGATGCTACTTCTAATTGACTTTGGGTTTGGCAATAAATTCATGAATTTTCTTAAAAATAGTACAGAAAAGGGTAACTAGTTCCACATCTATTTGTAGTTCCTAGAGGTATTTGTGTTGTTTTGTTCTACGTAATAGTTCTGGTAAGGGGTCATGAACAGAAACATGGACTCGAGTGATACTTAACCAGTATTCTCGGTATTAATGTTTAGAAATTATTTTACATCCCAGATGTAATTTCCCCTTTTTCTTTGTTAAAATTTTGTGACTTTTAAGGGAAGAGTTTTATATCTGATTTAAAAATCTTAAATTGCGTTTCAGATTTGCTCCTTAAAAACCCATTGCTATGTTAGAGTTTTGTAGACAAAGGACTTTCTTTTCACTGCAGTAGCAATCATAGGGCCAGTATGTACACATGTCTTATTTTTGGCAAGCATAGATATCTTGCAGTCTGTATTTTAAATCAGTTTCAAGCATACTGGCCCAATAGAACAGAAATAAAATCAGACACATTTCAGCATCTAGAGGTACTAATGAGATATTTGGTTTGAAAAACCACTGGGTAAATATTCTGGCTCATGTAGATGATAATGGACAATTACCTCTATCTTCCTTCTCCTGTACCGGATTAAAGACTCTTACTGGAGTAATGGCTTCCCCAATTTCAGTTATTTAAATTGTGACTACTGTGATCAGTTACGGGCAATAAAAAGGCAAATGCACTTGTCTGTAACAATTAGCTTCTCATACAGGAGGGTAACTACACTCAGAGGTAACAGGAGAAAGTACTGAGTGCTGTAATACAGCTACACACGTGGCAGTTCAGACAGGCGGGCAGGGAACCCTCTCTGTACACAAGGAGGCGTGCAGGCTGGCTGCTCAGTGTCGCTAGGCTCTGAGCAGGAGGAATGACTTTCCGGGCAGAGCGAGCAGGATGGGTTGGTATTAAGAACAGATGTATAGAAGGGATAGGGAGTTTATTTTGCCTCAAGCAGAAGGTATAAAGAGGCGGATTGGGAAGTAGGGTTAGAAAGAAGGCCTGTGGCTAAGAATGTTGGATGTAGTAGGCTAAGAGATTTGCACTTTCTCTTTTTTAAGGCAGTGGGAGAGGATTTTGAGGAGGAAACATATAATTAGAGCCAAATTTCAAGAAAAATTATCTTCTGACAGCATTTAATGAAATGCATTCAAGGGACAGACATTTAAAGGAAGATTCTGCTGAAAACAGCTATTTTTGTGTTACTGCTGTAAGACATATATCATTGAGATTAACTGATTTTAAAAGGTTGACGTTAATACGTTTTCCTCATATTTCGAGGTACGTAGCTTTCAAAAAGCACTTTTCTTTAGTATCAGTTTTTAGGTACCTGTTTTCCTAATCATATTTTTGTGTGCACTTTCTGTTTGGTGTTTTGTTTTTCCTTGTAAAACTTTATTTTTTTTAATTTTTAAAAAATTTTTAATGTTTTTTATTCATTTGAGAGAGACAGCATGAGCAGGGGAGGGTCAGAGAGAGAGGGAGACACAGAATCCAAAACAGGCTCCAGGCTCTGAGCTGTTAGCACAGAGCCCGACATGGGGCCCGAACCCACGAACCGTGAGATCATGCCCTGAGCCGAAGTCAGACGCTTAACCGACTGAGCCACCCAGGTGCCCCTGTTGTAACAACTGTAAAGTTCAGTAGGATTTGGAGCTTTGGTCAGTGCTCAGTTTGGTCACTTGGAAGATCTCTCAGAATATTAATGTACTCTGGCCCTATTCTCTCTGACACTTGCTCTCTAAGTAGGAAGGGGTTCAGCATTACTTTTGCCAAGATGCTCTTTATTTAGTACTCCTGACCTTGGAAACGCTGTTTAGGTTGATCACAGTTCATATATAGGAACACCATGCAGGCCACCTCAGTACATAAGAGGTATTTTGCCTTAATGTGTTTAGGTGCTGTCCAAATAAGTTCTCTGATTATTGCAACGTTAGCATTATGTGCAAGGTGCTGAATGGAAGCGAACTTTAGTACCATTGATAAGGCCCCTCCCCCACCGGGACACATCTACACATACTAGAACTTTGCTGCAAGTGAATTTTAAGCCATTTGATCTGGTTACCTCTTTTTATGAAGGAGAACACGAAATGCCAGATGAGTGCCAGGTGCCATTATCATAAAGAACTTGGGTTCTGAAGATGGTTTTGTCCTTGCAGTTATTCTGGATGTGAGTTTGTATTCTTGACCTGCTCAGGCCGTTTATGGGGGAGTTTGAAATTAAATATGGAGTACTCTCATCCGTTAGCTTTAAAACTAGTATGTTAGTATTCTTTAAAATACAGGTTTTCTGTTAAAATTTACTAGTATTGTTGACATATATGATGGGTGCACTAGGGTTTATAGTGCAAAAAAAGGAAATTCATTTGGAGTATTTTCTCTGGCTTTAATGTGCTTTGCTTGTTATTCTGTATTCATCTGATAGGTAGTAGTACTGGGTTTTAATTTTGAGTTGTTAATTTTGTAAGATATTAAAATTGTAGGATCACTGATGTATACCTTAATGCCCAGATATGATTGATAAATTTTATCTGTTAAATAAATTAATGAATTAATGAGTTCATCTCACGTTTTAAAGCAAAATTTAAGGTATGTTTTTTATTCTTTTGCAGTGTAAAAACAATCCTTTATAGATGGGTTTAGAAGATTCTGTAGACCAGATAGAATTAGCTTCTGTCTGATTTGTTCCAGGTGATGCCTTCAAAGGTCGTTATCATCAGCTCTTTGGACTTTAGTGAATCTTTGAATTATTGAGGCCTTTCTTTTAGGCCTCCATCTTTAGTGCTTGCTGTAGAGCCGTGGTCCAGTGAGTGGATCAGGCTTATTTGCAGGGGAGTATGAAAAGTTATATATAAAAGGTTTACAACACTCAGATTTGCTTGCTGTGTTTTTGCTTCCAAAAGTTGAACTCTGAAGTCTGCCTTTGTTGGCTGGAAATGGGATTATTTAGTTTCCCTCTACTTAGGCCCTATCCTGTTTTTCAGATAGTAAATTTTATTTTACTTTCATGTAATATGTTGAACCATATGTTACTGCTTCTTTGGATTTTGTGTTTTGAACAAGTGAGTTGCTTTTGATAATATTAGGGTTGGTTTTTGTAGTTGTAAAATGTCTTCAGTTCTCTTTATCAAGACATCGTTAAGAAACTAAGCCACAGGATGGAAGATGATTGCAATATATATACCCAATAAAGCACTTTTATCCAGAATATAAAAGGAACTTAAAAAAGTTTTTTTCTACTGTTTTATTTATTTCAGAGAGAGAGAGAGAGAGAGACAGCGTCAGCAGGGGAGGGTCAGAGAGAGAGGGAGACACAGAATCTGAAACAGGCTCCAGGCTCTGAGCTAGCTGTCAGCACAGAGCCCGACGCAGGGCTCGAACCCACAAACCGTGAGATCATGACCTGAGCCAAAGTCGGACGCTTAACCAGCTGAGCCACCCAGGCACCCCAAAAGGAACTCTTATATAGCAGTAAGAAAAAGTCAATTTTTAAAAAGCAAATAATATGAATAGGTACTTATCAAAAGAAGATACTAATTATCAGTAAACTATGAAAAAGTACTCAGCCTCATTAGTTGTCAGGAAATGCAAATTAAACCACATCCTAACTAGAAGGGCTAAAATTAAAAAGACACAAGTGGTTATGAAAGAAAAAAAAAAACACAAGTGTTGGGCAAGCATCTGAAACAACAGGAACTTTCATATACTGCTGACAAAAGTGTGAATTGGTGCAGTCACTTCGGAAAGCTGGTTGGGAGTATCTCCTGACGTTGACCACAGTTGTGCTTTCCTGGATATGTATCTAACAAATGCATAATAAAAACACATTGAGAATATTGATAGAGCCTTATTCATAATAGTCAGAAACTGGAACTGTCCAGATGCCTTTGTTACCCAAACTGTGGTCCGTGGATCCGCTGCTTCTGCAACATCTGAGGGCTTAGTAGAATTGCAGAAGGTTAGGCCTCACTCCTGATATGCCCAAGCAAATTCTGCAGTTTAGCATGATCCTCAGTTTTGTTTTGTTGAAGTAGGCTCTAAGCCCAATGTGGGGCTCAAACTCACGTGACCCCGTCATCTAGAGCTAGCATGATCCCCCGTTGATTCTCACTTTTGTTAAAGTTGGAGCGGCGGTGGTTTCATAATGGTTCTTGAAATTGGTCCTGGATCGGCCTCATTAATACCACCTGGGAACTGGTGAGAACGGCACAATCTCAGCCCCAACCCAGTTCTGGGGTATGGAAGCCCTACAGCCTGTTTTAATAAGCCCTCCAGGTGATATGGATGCAAAGCGAAGTCTGAGAACCTGCTTAGAGTTTACAGGTCTCACCCCTTCGCAGGTGATGCTAAGTGGGAAGCACACGTTGAGATCCATCCACTGCTTGCAGCGTTAGGCAGACCTTCTGTAACAGTCCAGATAGTAATATTTTAGGTTTTTCAGGCTGTGCAGTCTCTGTGACAGCCACGGTTCTACTGTGGGACAGCGAAACAGCCATGGACGATATGCAGATGAATTGGGATGGCTGTTTACCAGTAAATATGAAAATTGCGTGCAGGCTGGACTTGACTCCTGTATTTTGGGGACCTCTGCTCTGTAGCAGTGAGAATAAGTGATTTCAAGAACACACAAAACATGGATGAATCTTGTAAACACAATGTTGAATAAAAAGTATATACAAAAAAAGATATACTGCATGATTCATTCCATTTATTCTGAGTTCAAAACCCAGGAGAACAAATCTTTGCTCTTAGAAATCAGGAGGAGGGTGGGGGTGTGGTTATGACTGGAATAGGGCATGAAGTGATCTTCTGGAGCACTCAATAGTGTTTTGGTTTTTGATCTAAATAAATGATATACTTCCTAGAATAAAATTTGAGACTGATAATAATTAAAATCCTTTCAAAAATACTAAAATGAATAGATACATTATGGAGTACAATTTGAAATTACTTATGAATTTTTAAAATAAAGGTATCAAAGTCAGACTTCCAGGGGAGTGAGCTTGTTCTCTGCTAATGTAGGTCTTTGGGGTAAATTTGAAAGCCCTAGGATTTAGGATGATACATGAAATTTCCCTTTTATTTTTAAAAGATGAAGCCCCGACACCAAAACCATGGTACAGGTTTTGAGTGAATGTGTAGCCCATCTCTGTGTTTCTTCTCATTAATTCATGAATCATATTCTTTCTTGATTTTTTTTCCTTTTCCCCCTCCATCTTGATATGGTATATCTTAGTATATTCATGCTTTATTTACCTTTTTCTTGAGAGTAGTTGTTTATAATTCTCTTTTTATTGCCACTTATTAATGGTTATCCTGGAGGCTTCCTTTAGGGCTCTGGTTCTCACACTCTTTGGCTTTGGGATCTTTTTACACTGAAAAATTAAGGACCCTGAGCGCTTTGTTTGTAGGGATTATGTCTATCAGTACTTATCATTAGAAGTCAACACTGAGAAATTTAAAAAATATATTATTTCACTTAATGATAAACCCATTATGTGTTAACATGAATAACAGTTTCATGAAGTAAAACTGTATCTTCCAAAACAAAAACATCCTGAGAAGAGTATTATTGTTTTACATTTTCTGCATGTTTCTTTAATGTGCAGACTGTATGGCTTTAATATCTGGCTTGAAAGGTAGCTGGATTTTCACCTGCTTTGGTCTTTTGTGAGATACTGCTTGGCTGGAGTATATGAAGAAAATCAAGCCTCATACAGATGTGTAGTTGGAACAGGGAGGAGTATTTTAATTGCCATTCGCATTTTGTGGATATTCTTTGCTTTATACCAAAATATTAGTGACAGGTGGTTTTTTTAAAAATATTGATTGTAGTATGAAGTCTGAAACCACATCTGACATATAGCTAGGTCTGAGTAATAATTTATTGGTCAGTCTTTTAAAATAAAAATGACGATCCGTGAGGGGTGCCTGTGGGCTGAGTCTGTTATGCATCCAACTCTTGATTTCTACTCAGGTCATGATCTCATGGTTTGTGAGACAGAGCCCTGTGTTGGGCTCTGCACGGACAGTGTGGCACCTGCTTGAGATTCTCTCTACTCTTGCTCTCCACCCCTCTCCCACTTGTACACGTGCTCTCTCACAATAAAGGAAAAAAAAGATCCATGAACAAAAAAGTGGTTAGTTCAGCTTACAAATCAGTTGCACAAATGGTTTTCTTCAAGCCAGAGTTACTTTATGTGGATTTCCCAATTTGTCACACAGAATATTAAAATGGTGGGCATTCAAGGATGTATATTTAACAGAGGTGAATTTAAAAAAATTTTTTTTATGTTTTATTTATTTCTGAGAGAGACAGACAGTGTGAGCAGGGGAGGGTCAGAGAGAGAGGGAGACACAGAATCCGAAACAGGCTCCAGGCTCTGAGCTGTCAGCACAGAGCCCGACGCAGGGCTCGAACCCACGAATTGTGAGATCATGCCCTGAGCCGAAGTCGGATGCCCAACCGACTGAGCCACTCAGGTGCCCCTACTTTTTTTTTTCTAACAAAGGTAATTTTAATGCTTCTTCAAGGACATTTTTACGTAAACCAGCCTGAGTTCCTGGTGGTGGAGAATATAATGACTAGAGCAGAGTGGAGCTACTGCCCTAATGGCGTTTTATCTACCGCTGGTCTTGCACCTCCGTGCTGATGCCACCGCAGTGGAAAAATAGTGAATAATGCCTTGGTGTTATGAAAATAGTTTTAACCTTGAGGCCCATGGGGGTTACACAGACCACACTTTGAACCCTGGTCACTTTAGGGCTTTGTCCTTAAGTCATACATAAAAGAGTGTTTAATGAGGGGCTTTAAAAAAAGGGTCTGTGTGAAACATGCTATAGTGCTTTACTCCTTTTGAAGATACTTCTGCTTTCCCTGTAGGAATGCATCCTGTCAGGTATAATGTCAGTGAATGGAAAGAAAGTTCTTCACATGGATAGAAACCCGTATTACGGAGGAGAAAGTGCATCTATAACACCTCTGGAAGATGTAAGTATTACATTACTCATGCCTTCCATTCTTGGAATCTTTTACTTGTGAATCTCAACTTCACTCCTTATAGATAGGTTTAATTTTGTTTTGTTAAATAGATTATCTGTAACCTATTTTTTCAAAGGGGGCTGCTAGCTTAGGGCTTGTAGAGACTTCAGTTGTGGCCTTCCCTGCTGCCGGGAGCACTTACCTCTTACCTCCTGACCTACAGGCGTAGACTAGTGATGGGTATCTGATGGTGCCAAGCACAGCGCCGGGCTTTGCCCTTGGTTTTATGTATTCTTCTTGTTACTCAGGGAGGTATTTTTATCCCTGTTTGCCAGGTGACAAAATGATGTGTGTTGTCACAGTCCCAGAGATGGGCTGGGACCCTAGGCTGTGTGACTCCAGAGCTTTAGTTCCTTTTGCTCTCCTGCCCTGCTTCCCAGGTGTTTAGAACATTTAGGCACGGGAAGCGTTTCTGTGTGTTCTCCATAGACGCCTCACGGGTGACGGGAGCAGAGTGGTGTAGTGTGGAGGTGCCCACAGGGCCCCTGGTCACTGTCTCATGTTTGATTTCTTAATCTGGGTCTTTTAAAAACAGATATTCATTATTCTTTAATTTGTACCTGTGTTTTAATCCACTCTTCTTTTTTTTGCTTCTGTTCACAATAAAACAAATAGTAATAGTATTTAAAACACACATAAAGAAGTGTGTTTTACGAACTTTTCCTCTGTGAGGTTTCTTCAGCAGCCACACGTGTGGATACGAGCCATACTGTATTTTATAGGAGAGCTGTAGATGTCACCAGCGACTGATAAGGTAGACTTCATATTTTTATCAAAAATTTTTTTCTGTATTCAGGCCTACAGAAAAGTTGAAAGAATAGTAACAATGGATCAACTTTCCATCTGGATTTAGCAGCTGACATTTTGCAATATTTGCTTGTGTTTTTTTTGTTATTGGTTTGAATCCTTAAAAGTAATAGACATCATGATTCTTGACCTGAATCTTTCAGCATTCACTGGCTAAGAATAACATTCTCTTATGTAATCACAGTATCATTCATTATCACATTTAAGAAAATTAACAGTAATATCCAGATCATATTCAAATTTCCCACTGATGCTAAAATGTCTTATATTGTGTATGGTAGTGGGCTTTTGTTTCTTTTGTTTTTTTAAATGTTTATTTTTGAGAGAGCACGTGTGCACGAGTGAGTGGGGGAGAGGCAGAGAAAGGGAGACCGAGAATTTGAAGCAAGCCCCGCACACTCCGTGCAGAGTCCTACTTGGGGCCCAAACACACAAACCATGACACTGTGACCTGAGCCTACGTCAAACTCTTAACTGACCGAGCCACCCAGGCATCCGCCCCCCACTTTTTTTTTTTTTAACCAGTTTAAACATTGCCTTTGGTGCTGTTTCTCTTTATTCTCTTAATCTACAAAAATCTCCCCACTTTTTTTTCCTTTTGAAAAGTTCAAGCTAGCTTATGATAAGAAAGCATCGCTGTGTACTTCATATTGCGTCATATCAGAGGCGCAGAATGTCTAAATTTCCCCACTATTCATGATGCTGAACTTGACCCTAGTTAAGGTGACGACCACGAGATCTCTTCATTGTAAGTTATGTGTAGAGTGATATGTTGGCACCATTCCTTCTATGCTTAGTATGTTTATTCATCTTCAGTAAGATGAACAAGCTTTTTTTTCCCCCCAGTGAATATATCTCAAGGACTTGGGTATTTTTATTAGTAGACATATACCAACCTTGCTCATTCACCTCCATATTAGCAGTGCAATTCATGAGTTCAAATGATTATTCCCAAATTTTAGACTGAAAGCTGCTTTTTTAAAAAAAAATTTCTTTTTTTATGTTTTTGAGAGAGAGAAAGAGTGCGAGCAGGGGAGGGACAGAGAGAGGGAGACACAGAATCCCAAGCAGGCTCCAGGCTCCAAGCTGTCAGTACAGAGCCCGACATGGGGCTTGAACCCATGAACCTTGAGATTGTGACCTGAGCCGAAGTTAGACGCTTAACCGATTGAGCCACTCAGGCGCCCTTGAAAGGTGCTTTTTCTTTTTTTTAATATTTTATTTATTTCTGAGAGAGAGAGAGAGACAGTGTGAGCAGGGGAGGGTCAGAGAGAGAGGGAGACACAGAATCCGAAGCAGGCTCCAGGCTCTGAGCTAGCTGTCAGCATAGAGACCTACGTGGGGCTTGAACCCACGAACCGCAAGATCATGACCTGAGCCGAAGTCGGACGCTTAACCGACTGAGTCACCCAGGGGCCCCAAAAGCTGCTTTTTATCTAGAGCTCCTACTCAGCTCACTTATATAGGTTATAAATTAACTGGAGCTAACTTTGTCTTTTTTTATTTGAAAAATCCAGAATTTAGTTTTAATGGAAGCAAAAGTAAGCCTTTTGGGGCGCCTGGGTGGCTTATTCAGTTGATCATCTGACTTCAGGTCATGATCTCCCCGTTTGTGGAGTTGAGCCCCATGTTGCCCTCTGTCTCTGCCCCTCCCTTACTTGTGTGTGTGTGTGCTTGTGCACTCTCTCTGTCTCAAAAATAAACATTAAAAAAAGTAAGCCTTTCGTTAGCTTTTTATTCAGGAGAGAATGAGCTTAAATGATTTCTACAGGAGCATCTGGGTAACTCAGTCTTATGGTTTGTGAATTCAAGCCCAGAGCTTCCTTCAGATCCTCTCTGCCCCTCCCCTGCTTACGTGTACACACACACACACACACACACACACACACACACACACACACACACTGTCTCTCTCTCTCTCTCTCAAAAATAAATATTTAAAAAATAAAAAACAAGATTTCTAGAAATAAGGGGTATATTTGCAGAGGTATATGTCATTGACAAGTTGTTTTATATTCTTTTCTGCTAGTAAGAAATAGTACCTCTGTAATATTTATTTTTGGGTTCATTTGTTTAGTAATATATTTAATTTAGATGTGTACTGGAACTTCTCTAAAAACTTTATCTGACACTCCCTGTTACACTGAATAGTTGTATAACATAATGAAGATTATGTTACATTATGGGTAATTTTTGTTTCGGTTTTAGTTATACAAGAGATTTAAAATACCAGGAGCACCACCAGCATCAATGGGGAGAGGAAGAGACTGGAATGTTGACTTAATTCCTAAGTTCCTTATGGCCAATGGTAAAGAATTCTAACTGAAATTTATCACTATGAATATGGTTTAAAAGTAGAAATTAACTCTTATACTCTGGTTTCTCTTCAGATCGTATAAATCTTTCACCTTTTACTAAAAGTAGAAACTAACTCTTGACAGAGTGTTTTATTCCAGGTATGTGGAAATAGATTTTGTTGAATGGCGACAGTTTGGTGAGTATCTTATGGTCCATTAGAGGCCCCTGGAGTCAGTAAGAATGGAGGGAGGGATGACCCCTCCCCAGCTGGTTCTGGAGGCGCAAACTCAGGATGCGCCACAGACCCTTCTCTCTGGGCTTTGCTAACGGTCTTGGGTAACTGGGCCTTCAGAGACAGGGTTTTTTCCTAGTTTGGAGACTTTTAAAACTATTTTTTCACATATTTTCTCATATTTTTAATTAGAAGAGCAAAGTTCCTGTGATATTAGTGCCTTTTTCTCAACTGACATAAAAAAACCAAGTTGTTGGTGTGAAGTCTATTTATGTTCCATGTATGAAAGGATGAGCCACCTTTTCCCTTTCTTTGTCATTTTAGTTATTTTTTGGTTTTGAATTTATATTCTACAGTTTTTTCCTTTCATTCTCCTCAAAGGTTTTTTTTTTTTTTTTTTAAGTAATCTCTACCCCCCAGCGTGAGGCTTGAACCCCCAACTCTAAGATTAAGAGTCACACATACAAGGGTGCCTGGGTAGCTCAGTCGGTTAAACATCCGACTCCGGCTCAGATCATGATCTCACAGCTTGTAGGATTGAGCCCCACGTGGGGCTCTGTGCTGACAGCTTGGAGCCTAGAGCCTGCTTTGGATTCTGTCTCCAGCTCTCTGCCCCTCCCCTGCTCATTCTGTCTCTCTGTCTGTCTCACCAAAATGAATAAATGTTAAAAAAGTTAAAAAAAAATAAAAAAGGTCCCACACTCCACTGACTGAGCCAGCCAGGCTCCCCTGTAGTTTCTTTGAATGGAAAGAACTTTGAATTTTCTTTGAAATTTAAAGTTACCTACTTGAAATTCTTTTGAAGTAAATTGTAAGCAGTTTTAAAATTATATGAGTAATAAAATTATTTTATTAAAATTAGAAAACACAGATAAGCAGAAAGGAAATTAAATTTATATAACCAGAATCTCACCATCTAGAATTATGGTGAATATTTTGCAGGCTGTGTGTGTGTGTGTGTGTGTGTGTGTGTGTGTGCGCGCGCGCGCGCGCGCAGTGAGCCTCACAATACAGCCCTAGAAGTGTACTGTGGGGATCAAGGCAGGAATTTTTTTTTTAACGCTTTTATTTTCTATTGCCCAATGTGACTCTAACCAGAGGACTGCGGGTGCCTCTTTCCTAGGACCTGTATCAGTCCTGAATATCATTCATTTTAATTTCTGTCACTTTGTCATACCAAAAGGCAAAATATAATGGAATTTTAAAAAGTATCTGTTTGAGAGTGAAATGATTTCTAGGTGTTTATTGGCTTTATACATTTTTAAGAGTTATTTATTTTTAATGTTTTTTTATGTTTGTTTATTTCTGAGAGACAGTGTGAGCAGGGGAAGGTCAGAGAGAGAGAGGGAGATATAGAATCTGAAGCAGGCTTCAGGCTCTGAACTGTCAGCACAGAGCCCAATGCGGGCAACCCACGAACCGTGAGATCATGACCTGAGCCGAAGTCAGACACTTAACCAACTGAGCTACCCAGGCGCCCCTGAAGTTTACTTTTGAAAGAGAGAGTGTGCACGCATGCACGCAGACCATGGGGCAGGGGCAGAGAGAGGAGGGGAGAGAATATCCCAGGCAAGCTCCATGCTGTCTGTGTGGAGCCCAACATAGGGCTCGATCCCACAAATCGTGGGATCATGACCTGAGCCAAGATCAAGAGTCAGAAGCTTAACCTTAGACTGAGCCAGCCAGGCCTCTCAGTTTTCATAGTCTTTAATGAATTGGCCAGCCTTATGCTTTGTATATTTTTCTTTTGAGGTTTTATTTCTTTTGAGGTTAAATATTGCCTTATTGATATGAAAGAGCTCTTTGTAAATGAAAATACCTTTTCCAATTTGTGATTGGCTTTATACATAATTGAGTTGCAGTTTTGTTTCATACGTAAGCTTTTAATTTTCATGGAGTTAGGTTGATCTTTCTTCTCTTTATTGTTTTTGATTTGGAAGGATATACCTAAAATTTATACTTTACTTCAAGGTTATAAAAATATTAGTATTTGCTATTAATGGTTTTATACTTTTATTTTCTCACTGTATAGGTAAATTCACCTATTTTATAAGTTAATTTATCTGATATCCTGTTTGAAACTAACCATCTTTACTTTCTCTACACTCAACATGGGGCTCAGATATATGACCTCGAGATCAAGCATCTCATGCTCTGCTGACTGAACCATGAACCAACCAGGAGTCCCCTCTGTTATTCTGTTTGAGACCTAGAGGTCGAGATTTATTCTTGAAAATAATTATTCAGAGGCGCCTGGGTGGCTCAGTCAGTTAGGCATCCAACTTCGGCTCAGGTCATGATCATGATCTCACAGTTGTGAGTTCAGGCCCTGCATCGGGCTCTGTGCTGACGGCTCAGAGCCTGGAGCCTGCTTCAGATTCTGTGTCCCCCCTCTCTGTGCCCCTCCCCCGCTCATGCTCTGTCTTTCTCTCAAAAACAAACATTTAAAAAAATTCTTTAAAATGGTTATTTAGTTGTCCCTCAATACCATTTATCTTTTCCACGTTTATTTGAACTTTTATATTAAATTCTTATGTATGGGTCTTTTTTTCTCCCACTAATTTGTGGATTGATTAATATAACTGTACAATTTAACACCTGGATGCATGAAGCTGAAACTTTATTTTTTGCTTTCAAAAATATTCTTTTGAAATTGTATTTGAACAGTATTTCAAATTGTATGCCTGGCTTATTTATCTGAAATTAATGTCTATTTTAATTAATACAAGTTGAATAATACAAACTGAAGAGCACAGATTCTTGAAAAATTTTCTCTTAGTTGCCTCTCTTTAAAACATAAGAATTGAAGGAAACTCAGACCCATTTGCAATAGTACTATAATTCTAAACTTCATACATACTTCTAATAATTATTAATACAGATTTTACAAAAGCATGTTGATAAAGTTATTAATCTTGAAGTTGTAACATTAAAAAAGATAGTTGTAAATAGGCTAAGCAACAGGCATGCAGTCTGATTGTCCCATGTGGAATGTGGCATTGGAGACTTTTTTTGGCAGGAGTTATTGGACAATGTTAAGAAAAAACTAGGAAGCCATTAGTACAAGCCAACAATAAATGTGCTTTTATTCCTCCTAGTTTTTGAAGGCAGTAAGATTGAAGTTACAGTTGGAACTGTCGGACTTTTTTAGGTCAGCTGGTGAAGATGCTGCTTTATACAGAGGTCACCCGCTATCTGGATTTCAAAGTGACTGAAGGGAGCTTTGTCTATAAGGGAGGAAAAATCTACAAGGTTCCTTCCACCGAAGCAGAAGCCCTGGCATCTAGTAAGTAATTTTACTTTGTTTGCTCAGAATAATGAGATTTCACAAAGGAAGGGAATCTTAGAGCTATCGGAACGTCCCCTGTTCTGACAGCCAGCTGCTCACCCGCCCGGTCAGCAGTGGTTATTGGACGTCTGGTAAGTGCCAGACACTGTGGGGGTGGTTGGTTTTCCGCCGGCGAAGAGGATGCTCACGAACCTCACGGAAGCTCACGGAGAGTTGAAGTGACTGTGTGCCTCATGGAGCTTGGGGCCTGTTTAGGTTCTCGGTGCTCGTTGCGTAGCAGTAGTTCGGAAGAGCCAGCCTCGTTCTGAGTGTTTCCTGTGCGCTGGGCTCTGTGCTAAATGCTTCACATCCTTTGTCTCATTTGGAAGAATCTTACAGATGAGGGAACCGAGGCCTGAGGTCATGCAGGTAGGCGGCAGGGTTAGGATGAAAGCGGGGGGCGTCTAGAGTCTGTGCACTTAATCACGGGGCTGAGCTGACCACCTTCGCCTTACTGTCTGACCTGCTGAAAAAGACCAGAACTTTGTTCTGGGGAAACTCATCTTCTAATTGGGGCCGTTGCCATTCTCTGAAATCTCTCTTTTTAGAATTTCTGGTGAGTATGGAGTAGGTTTTATTCTTTGCCCAAAATTATTTCCTTTCTTGGCTCAGTGAAAGATTCCAGGTTAACATTTTCTATTCCTGCCTCTTTTGAATAGCAAACACCCCTAAAGAAGACATTGAAGTTATTTGAGTTGTTGTGCAGAGCAGTTTGAGAAATGAAAGTTGTGTGGCTGCTGGGTCCACGAGTTCTGTGTCGCAGTTGCCGGGGATCGGGGGGAGGGACAGGTCTGGATTGGGAGAGCAGGAAGTCCCAGTCAGTTCTCAGTGATGATTTTGGCATGAGTGTGGGACAGTTTCCTCACCTAAAAACCGAATTGGAATTACTTTGGCAGCTTCTCTCACTTCATTTATTTCCTTCTTGCTTTTGGGGTTGGAAATGTTGGGCATAAAATGTCAAAAGGCACTATGGGCAGAAAGTAAAGCATAGCACTGAGATGTGTGGCACAGTTAGGATAGACACACCGGGGAGCGAAAGGGATGGCTCCTGATAGAGTGAGGGAGTTAGTGGCGCCACCACGGGTTAGAAATTATTTTAAATGACGACGTTAGCTTTATCTAAATAACGTGTTTTCGTAGAAAGAAGAGTTCAACAGTTTGTAAAGAATCTTTTAAAACGAAGTCGTGTTCTAAATTTTTATTCTCTCTTTGAGCTCTTACATATGTTAATCACCTTCTGGCAGTTCTGTTTTTCCCTTCTGAATTAATTTTTTCAAATATATAAAATATTTCTATGACTTGAAAGTCAAAATTCTATCAAAAGATAAGAGAGTCTTGTTCTTCTGTTCTACATTCCTTCTACCTTGATTATTATTTTTGTTTCTGGTTTATATTTTTCTTTTTTGAGAGAGAGAGAGAGCAGGGGAGGGGTAGACAGAATGGGAGAGAGAATCTTAAGCAGGCTCCACACTGTCAGTGCAGAGTGCGATGGAGGGCTTGAACTCACAAACTGTGAGCCGAAACTAAGAGTCAGATGCTCAACGGACTGAGCCACCCAAATGCCCCTTCTTTTTTTGAGAGAGAGAAGAGAGAGTGAATGGGAACATGAGCATGAGTAGGGGAGGGTCAGAGAGAGAGCAGATTCCAGGCAGAATCCATGCTGTCTATGCGGAGCCCAATGAGGGACTCGATCTCCTGACCCTGAGATCATGACCTGAGCTGAAACTAAGAGTCAGCTGCCTAACTGACTGCACCACCCAGGTGCCCATCTGGTTTATTCTTATGTTTCTTTGTCCAAAAATAAGCAAATATATTTATATATCTATTTTTGTGGTTAGATTTTTTGAGGTATAATTTACATACAGTAGAATTTACCTGGTTTAGTATATAGTTTTATGAATTTTTGCCAGATCTCTACCTTACCAGCAACTGGTTTTCTGTTAATGAATGGGATCTTGATGTCAAAATGGCAGGCAGGAAAATACTAGGCAGGGGCACCTGGGGGGCTCAGTCGGTTAAGTGTCCGACTTGGGCTCAGCTCATGATCTCACTGTTCCTGAGTTTGAGTCCTACATCGGGCTCTCTGCTGTCAGCACAGAGCCTGCTTCACATCCTCTGGCTGCCCTGCCCCCCCACCCCTGCCTGCTAGCACATGCTCGCTCACTCTCAAAAATACACATTTAAAAAGAAAATTCTAGGCAAAATGAATGGGGTAAGGAAAGTTGTAGAAGTGGGGAAGTTCAGTAGGAGGATGAATAAGAACAATTATTGCAGAATTATAATAGCTAACATGTTTGGGCATTATGTACGGGGGTGTGTCCAAAGTACTTCCTGGGTGTGGCTAACTTTATGTAGCCCTTCTCTGGCACTCTGAGATGTGGGTGCTGTTGTCTTTATTTTGCAGATGGGAAACCTCTTTCTCACAGGTGTACAGGTGTGGAAGAACAGCCTGAAGTAGCAGAGCTCATGACTCCTAGTACTGGTTTGAGGCCAGATTTGTCTGATTCTAGAACCCTGCATTCTCAACCTCTATTGTATATAGTATAAAAATCAGATTTTAAAGACATTTTAACAACTATCATGTACTCTAGTCCTTTTTTTTTTTTTAATTTTTTTAATGCTAAGGATTTTTAGCTTCCATCCCAGTTTTCTCTCCGATAATAGGCCACTCTTTGCCACTTTTCTTTGGAAATTCTGATCTGTCAGTAGTATCCTGTGTGTAATATTAGGGGCACCTGGGTAGCTCAGTTAAGTGTCTGACTTCAACTTGGGTCATGATCTCTTGATCGGTGAGTTCAAGCCCCACGTCGGGGTCTGTGCTGACAGCTCAGAACGCCTGCTTGGGATTTTGTGTCTCCCTCTCTCTGCCCCTCCTTGCTCATACTCTGTCTCAAAAATGAATAAATGTTAAAAAAAAATAGTTAAATTCTTTATTCTCACTCTTAACTGTAGTGACTTATCTATGTAGAGTACCTTTTTTTAAAAAAATTATTTTTAAAAATTTTTTAGAGAGCATGAGAGGGGGAGAGGGCCGAGGGCGAGAGAGAAAATCTTAAGCGGGTTTTGCCTCAGCGCGGGACCTGCTGCCGGGGCTCGACCCTGGGACCATGACCTGAGCTGAAAATCAAGAGTCCGCCACTCGATGGACTGGGCCACCCAGGCGCCCCTCTCTCTGTAGAGCACCTTTGACATCAGCAGATCACCTGTACTGTGGCAGAGCCGAGGGGCTCTCAGGGCCGTGGCCGTCTGCAGGGGACGTGTGGGCGTGGGACCCAGCTACCGCCGCGGAGTTCGGGCGCGCAGCCCCCCCACCCCCGCGTCCCGTGCGTGTGCGGGGCCTACGGAGCGCTCTTTTGGCACTGATTCCGCTCTCACTTTTTAAAAAGTTCTGTGGTTAGATTCTTTTTTAACTGAAGTAGAGTTGTCACCCATCGTTGTTGTAGGTGTACAGCATCGCGACTCAACGGGTCTGTGCTGTGCTCCCCGCACGGCGTGTCACGCCCCGGGGACCGTCTTCCCCGCGCTGTGTCGTTCACCCGCGTGACGAGTCTGTCCCCAGCGCAAGCCTGGCTGGCTGCCGCCACCTTCCCACGTTTTCCTCAGTCTCCCGTCCCTCCACTCCTGATAGCCCTCCGTGTTTTGTGGGTCTGTTTCTGGTTTTGTTTGTGTCAGTTTGTTAAGTCATTTATTTTTTTTATGTTCCACAGATGAGGGAGGTCACCGGGGGCTTGTTTCTCTGACTTGACTAGCGACCGGCTCTCCAGGTCCGCCCGTGAGGTTGCGAACGGCAGGATCTCAGTGCAGCTTTGCTTTGCGTGTCGCTGCCGCTTATTGATGTTGGGCATCTTGTGTGTTTGCCACCTGTAGGTCCTTTATGGGAAAAGATCTATTCAGGTTTTCTGCTCATTTTTTATCAGATTTTTTTTTTTTTCTGGTGTTGAGTTGTGTAAGTTCATTATGTATTTTGGGTATTAGCGCCTTATCAGATACATCATTTGCAAATATTTTTCTCCCATTCAGTAGGTTGCCTCGTTGTTTCATTGATGGTTTCTTTTGTGGGGCAGAAGCTTTTTTATTTTGCTGGAGTACAACATGTAGAAAACTGTTGCTGTGGGCAAAGTCAGAAATTTCTGCCTACATGTTTCCTTCTAGTTTTAGGGCTTCCTGTCTCATGTTTAGGTCTTTGATCCATTTTGAGTTTATGTTTGTGCATGGTGTAAGTGATCCAGTTTCCCCAGTACCATTTGGTGAAGACATTACACCGTCTTTTCCCAGCTAGGTATACTTGCGTCTGTTGACGTAGATTAGTTCTTCATAAAAGTGTGGCTTTATTTCTGTGCTTTCTGTCCTGTTCCACTGATCTCTTACTATCTTTTTGTGCCAGTACTGTACTGTTTGATTATTATAGTTTTGTTGTAAATCTTGAAATCTGGGATTTACCATCAGCTTTGTTCTTCTTCCTTAAGATTGCTTTGGCCATTCAGGGTCTTTGGTAGTTCTGTATAAATTTTAGTATTCTAGCTCTGAAAAATGCTGCTGGAATTTTGATAGGGATTTCATTGAATTTGTAGATACTACTTTTATTTTTATTTATTTATTTTTTTATTTCTAGGAGAGAGAGAGACAGCGCAAGCAGGGGAGGGTCAGAGAGAGAGGGAGACACAGACTCTGAAACAGGCTCCAGGCTCCGAGCTGGCAGTCAGCACAGAGCCCGACGCGGGGCTCGAAACCATGAACCGCGAGATCATGACCCAAGCGAAAGTCGGACGCTCAACCGACTAAGCCACCCGGGTGCCCCTGTAGATATTACTTTAGATAGTATGGATATTTTAACAATTATTTTCCAAATCTCTGTGATCAAATCTTATACCTGTTAGCTAATTGCAGAGCTTGTATTTATTGTCCTAAAACCATTCTGGCTATTGTAACTTTTTATATTTTAAAAGTCTTGATATAAGTGCAATTTTTGGAAATAAGCCTGTGTGAACGTGAAGGAAGAAAAGTAAAACAATATTTGCAGTATTTGAAATGATATTCACATGGTATTTTGGAAACTGAGTATCTTGGAAAAAGATTTTTTTTCCTAATCCATTTATCATACACTTGAACATTTTTCCTCATATATTGTAAATCCAATATTCGAGTAAGTTGACATCTCTTACATTTGCTCCCATCAGACATTAATTGTGTGGATTGAATGTGTACAGGTTATAATTACTTGTAACTGAAGACTTAATAACTGATCTATTGTAATTGTGTCGGTTTATTTTAAGAGTGTAGTGGAAGTAGAAGCCATACTGTGTAAACTCCCGTATCTTAAATCGTATATTGCCGTAGAAGAGCCTCAGAGAAGAACAGGGCACATTTAAACTTACCCCTCACCCTCTCCTCCTCAGTGTCCTAATGCCAGCGTTTGCTTTTTGACAAATTCTTTAGGCTTAATGGGACTGTTTGAAAAACGTCGCTTCAGAAAATTCCTAGTGTATGTTGCCAATTTTGATGAAAAAGATCCCAGAACTTTTGAGGGCATCGATCCTATGAAGACCGTGATGCGGGATGTGTACAAGAAATTTGACTTGGGACAGGATGTCATAGATTTTACCGGCCATGCCCTGGCACTTTACAGAACCGATGAGTAAGTTTGTTGGATTTTAGATTTGTATTTTTTTTTTTGGAACTGTCACTGAATTTCTCAGTTCTCTGAAATGGAAATTCTAACAAAAAAAGATAACCGTGTTGTATATTATGAAAGGTTCCAGCTGTAAATTTGTGGTATAGAAACTTTCTGGTAAAATACAAAAGTAGTGGAATGAAATCACTTCAGAAAAAACACCCTGAATATTTATTTTCTAATATTTATTTCCTTCATTCTAGCTATTTAGATCAACCATGCTGTGAAACCATTAATAGGATTAAACTTTACAGCGAGTCTCTGGCAAGATATGGCAAAAGCCCGTACCTTTACCCACTCTATGGCCTCGGAGAGCTGCCCCAGGGGTTTGCCAGGTGAGTGCCTGTCGCTGCCCTGTTTGCGGACACTCCGGTGACTCTGGGTCCCCTCTTCAGTGGGGTGCATGACATTATGGTTATAAGTGATGAAGTGAGAGAGTTCTGGGCGCCAGGAGATGCTGTTTTCAATTTATACTCAGTGAAGCGAGCAATCGACATTAAACATTTTAGTCTGCTGACTGTTGGTCCTGTGTAAGCAACACTGCAGGCAAGAGAAGACAACCTTTTGTCTGGAAGTCGCCCCGCACTGCCTCACGACCACCCCCACCCCCACGCCGCGTGTGCTCGGTCCCTGCACCCTACTCGTGCGTGTTCTGGAAGTTCATATAAAGGGAGTCACAGAATTAAGTACTCGCTTGTGTTTGGCTTTTGCTTAATGATATTTTTGAGGTTCATTTATGTTGAGGCATGTATTTTAGTTAGTTTTATTTTAATTTTTTTGTTATTAAAAAAAATTTTTTTAATGCTTATTTTTGAGAGAGAGCACAAGCAGGGGAGGGGCAGAGAGAGAAGGAGACACAGAATGTGAAACAGGCTCCAGGCTCTGAGCTGTCAGCACGGAACCTGATGTGGGGCTCGAACTCACGAACCGTGAGATCATGACCTGAGCTGAAGTTGGATGCTTAACCGACTGAGCCACCCAGGCACCCCTATTTCCAGTTTATTTTAAAGTTGTTTGCTGATGGGATACCTGGGTGGCTCAAAGTAAGCATAGGACTCTTGGGGCACCTGGGTGGCCCACGTCGGGCTCTGTGCTGACAGCTCAGAGCCTGGAGCTGCTTCAGATTCTGTGTCTCCCTCTCTCTCTGACCCTCCCCTGCTCACGCTGTCTCTGTCAAAAATAAAACATTAAAAAAACTTAGAGCATAGGACTCTTGATTTCTGCTCAGGTCATGATCTCACGATCTGTGAGTTTGAGCCCCACGTCAGACTGCGCTGTCAGTACTGAGATGCTTGGGATTTTGTTCTCCCTACCCCACCTTCTCCCCTACTCGTGTGCTCGCTCGCTCACTCTCTCTCAAAATAAATATAAACAAGTTGTTTGCTGGTGAGAATGGACATCCTTGCTTTATTATTAAGTGTTTTCTATAGGGTTTTTATAGATGGCTTTGGAATTCCTTCTTATTCTTGGCTTGTTGAGAGTTTTATTATGAATGGGTATTGACATTGAATTAATAATACAGGTTTTCTTTTTATGCTGTTATTATGGTGAACTACAGATTGATTTTTTGGATATTAAACCAACCTTGTATTCCCAAGATAAACAACACTTAATTCATGATATATTTTTCTTTTAATTTATTATTGGATTTAATTTGCATGTGTGTGTAAGTGTGTAAACACAGGAATTAAAAATTAGGCCAAATGGTCCATTTCTGATTTCATCAGTTGTGTTTTACAAGAAATTTGACCATTTCAAATGAGTTCCTGAATTTTTATCTATTTATTTTTGAGAGAGAGAGAGAGAGAGAGAGCGCGAGCGTGCGCATGCACATGCACAGTGGGAGAGAGAGGAGAATCCCAAGCAGGCTCTGTGCTCAGAGCATGGATCCTGACATGGGGTTAGAACTCCCAAACAGTGAGATCATGACATGAGCCAAAACCAAGAGTCAGATGCATAACTGAACGAAGCCACCCAGGTGCCCCCTTCTAGCTGTTTAAAATGGAAACAGATCATTGATTTTACACTTCCCTGCTATAATATAAGGATTTAAAATTTCTCTCCAAATATGTATTATTCAGTATGGTACCCTGTCTTTCCTGTTTTTCATCATCTTTGATCCTTGGGTTACTTGAAGTGGGTAGTGTTTACTTGTTAAATATTTTGAGATTTTCCTAAATATTGTATTCCTACTCCTATCTAATTCAGTTCCGTGATGATCAGAGAATAAACTTGTAAAATTTTAATCTTTGGTATTAAAGCATCAATTCTGGTCAAATTTAAATGATGTCTTTTGGTGAATGAGTACGGCCTTGAAAAGAACATACATCCTGCGTACCAGGCGCAGTACTCTGTAAGGGTAGTTGGTAGAGTTGTTCACCACTTGTGTTCTTACAGGTTCTTTTTCTAGTTCTGTTACTGAGAGAGAGTCTTCCACCAGGAGAGCGGATTTACCTGTTTCTCAGTTTAGTGCTGTCAGTTCGTACTTCAGTTAGAGCTCTTCAGTAGGGAGAGACTCGTTTCCCATTTGTCTGATACTAAACACAACCTTACCAGCTTGCTTACTGTTTACATTTTCCTCCATTCTTTTACTTTCAGACTTTCTTTTTATACTTAAGTGAGTCTCTGATAAATAGCATATGGTCGAATATTGCTTTTTTTATCCTGTCTGACAACCTTGGCCTTTAATGGGATTGTTCAGTTCATATATATTTAATTACTGATATGGTTGGGATTAGGTCGGTTGTTTGTTTCCTTTTTCTCTTTCCATCTTTCCCCCTCTTGTTCTTTTCTCTTTGTGGATTCATCAAATATTTTTTATGATTCCAGATTATTTCCTTTAGTGGTTTTGTAGCCCTGCGTCTTTACTTTTTAGTGTTCTGCAGATTATCATATGCTTCCTTTATCAGTTTATTCGGAGTTAATACTGTGCTGCTTGACATAAAATCTAACCACTCTGCACACCTTTATTCCCTGTGTCGGTCTCCTTTGTGCTCTTGTTGCGTGTACTCACGTCTGCCTCCTGAAGTCCACAGTGCGGTAGTGTCAGTTCTGCACTGAACAGTCGGTTTAAAAATATGGAGAGAAGGAAAAGTAATCATTTTACCACGTAACCTTTTTTGTTGCTCTTCTTTCTTGTGAATCCTGGTCTCCACGTGGTGGCCTCTGTCCAGCCCTTCTGTGGCGTTCTGGTCGCTTCAGGTCTGCTGGGGAGGGGTCTCCGCTGTTACCAGCCTGAAACGTGTTCTGTCACCTTCTTTTTTGAAGGACATTTGTCAGCTTGAGATTTTTTTTCCCTTCAGCACAGCTGCGGCTCCCTCCCTGTGTCTGCTCTTCCTGCTGGGAAGGCGGCTGCCCTGTTCTGCGTGTGCAGTGGTGGGGGGAGGGGGGAATTCTGGGGGGGGGGGGGGTGTCTCCTGGCTGCTTGCAGGATCCTCTCCAGGTTTTGGCAGTCTTGCTAGGATTCGCATGAATGTGGTTTGCTTGGGATTTGTTGAACTGCTTGGATGTGTAAGTTAATCGTTTATATGAAATTGGGAATTTTAAAATCGCCCTCTTCCGATGTTTTATCCCATTTCCTCTCCTTCTGGGACACCCATTTCCGCACTTGTCAGAGGCTCCGTGTTACTCCGCAGGCCCCTGGGGTTCTTTGCCTTTTTTTTTTTTTTCTCTCCATGCTTCATATTTAAGTAACGCCTATTGATTTGTCTTCAAGTTCACGGACTCCCTTTTTTGTTATTTCCAAAAAGCTATGGATCCCAGTCAGGTTTTAACTTTTTTTTTCTGGTACTGTACTTTCTACATGTAGGGTTTCTAGTTTTTTGAGTATAGTTTTTTGTGAGATTCTGTTTACTCATTTTGATCCTACTGAATACATTTATACTAATTTAAGTTTATTTTTAGAGAGAGAGAGCAAGCGAGCGAGAATGAGAACACGTGGGGGAGAGATAGAAAGAGGGGGAGAGAGAATGAATCTCTGCAGACAGGGTCTGCACTGTCAGCACAGAGCCCAGTGAGGGACTCGATCTCATAAACCATGAGGTCATGTCCTGAACTGAAATCAAGAGTTGGAGACATAACCGACTGAGCCACCCAGGCGCCTCTCTACTATACCTTCTGGAACAGGTGTTTGAATGAGGATGTTTGTCCTTGAGTGTATTTATAACCGCGGCCATTAATCCCCTGCTTTATGTTAACGTGTCGGGAATCTGGGCATCCCATCCTTTGTATTGACTGCTTTTCCTGAAGTCTTTACTCTGGGTCACACCTCGTTTCTTCACACCTGGTGACACTGGACTGGATACTGGACACAGTGATTGGCACAGTGTAGAGATGCTGGGTTCTTTCTCTGAAGAGTGTTGATTTTTGTTCAAGTGGGTAGTTAAATTATTGACCGGTTATCTTGAACTTCTGGAGGTTTGACTTGACACTCGGGTGGGGAGGGTGGGTTTTTTTTTTTCCTTTCTTTTTTCTTTTTGGTCTTTGGCTGAATCCTTAGTTCTGGTGCAAAAAGGTGTGATCCTCCTGGGCTTTCAGTGGAAAGCTCAAGGCGTGTGTGCACATAGCTCTCTAACGTGGCAGTTTCAGACTTCAGGCCCATTTGTCTTTAAGGCCCTCGGTTGTAATCTTTGCTCTTTTTGCCTTCTGGCTGTTGCTTTTTGCTGGATTTCTTGGACTCTGTCAGGTACAAGTAGTTCTGGAGTTAGTTAAGGATTTGAAGAGATTTTATAGATTTGCCTTTTTGTGGATTTCCTCCCACAACTTTCCTCTCCTTTGACAGCCCCAGATTCTGCCCTGTGGCACCTGAATGGATAAGACTGCAGGCTTTCTGCTTCGATCCAGCTGCTCCCTTACCGTGACGGGGAGGAGCCTCAGAAACCACTAAAGGACCTCACTTCCTTCCCTTCAAGTCCCCCAGTGTCTGTCTGCTTTTAGTCCCTCTCCAGAGCCTCCTGATTGGTTTTGTTTAGTTCAGTTTTGGAGGATTAGCATGAGCGCTTCAGAGGGACTTGGCATTCAGAACTGAATGTGAGACTTCATGGTTTTGATTATATTTCATAATTGTTGCCTTAATGACTTTAAACTAACACCTTTTAGAAGGAAATTGAGCAAATATACATTGACCTTATAACTCAAAGATCTAAGAAAGGAGACTTTAGTCGTGGAAACAATTATATATTATTGTAATTTCAAACTTTTTTTAGGCTAAGCGCTATTTATGGTGGTACCTACATGCTCAACAAGCCAATTGAGGAAATCATTGTGCAGAACGGAAAAGTGATTGGTGTGAAATCTGAAGGAGAGGTAAGAGCTTTTACAATTTAAAAAATATGTTGTGAGGGAGACGTTCTTGAACGCAATGCGGTGTGGACGCTGATGTAGGTTCCAGGCTACATGTGGAACAAGCTTTATGGCGAGTTGTCATCTGTAATGAATGACTGAGGACTAAAGATGCAGTGCTTAAAACCAGCTATTTCCTATTGGGTTGGTTAGTGCTTAAGATGGAAATAGACCTTAAGGATGAAGTCCAAGTGGTAGGTAGTCTGTATATGTAGTGTAGGTTGGTGCCTGTCTCTTGAATTTTCCTTTAGATTTAGCGTTATTTGTACCACTTCCCGCTTAGAATTTATTGGTTGAATTTGGGCTTGGTGGATACTGAGGGTTTTATTATGTAATTTGGGGCTGGCTCGGTGCAGTTGGGTGCAGGGTTTCTCAGATTTGAACTGCAGTTAACCCCGTGTGACCCCTGGTGAAGCGCACCTCCCGCCGCAGCGGCCCGCCAGCCGGATCTCTTGTATTTCATGAAATGGCAGCTCTCACAGGTAGTGAGAACTGTGACTTTGTGGAGTCCCTGACGGTGTCCCGTGGGTTAGGACCACATAATCTACACCCGCTGGTTGGCCGTTGGACCAACTGTTAGCGTTGTAGACCTTTGGTAACTGTCTTTTGCTTTTAGTGTGGGAGGTTCTGGGAAGTCATGTGTCTCCGAGTCCTTGTTAGCGCAGTTTGGTCTCCTCCTTTCTCAGGGCTGCTCCCTCTCAGGAAATGACAGAACATGTACCTCTCACCGGGCCCAGTCCCCTATAATGACAGCCTGTGGTAGTTTTTTTTTTTTTTAACCCAACAACAACCCTTTGAGGTTGGCTACAGCCAGGATGTGAAGCCGGCCTGCGCAGTTCTGAAACTTGTACCAGGCTTCCGAATGCTTGACTAGGACTTAGAATTCCCGGATCTGTTCCAGGAGACTTTGTGGGGATTGTTGGCAGAACCAGTTTTGTTGTGTGTACAGTGAACCCTATGAGGGCCGGAGATTGCACTGCAGGGACAGTGGCATCAACGTTCTATCAGAAACATCGTGGATACCGAACATCGTAAATGTTAATGTGACTTTGATGTTCCATGACAGGTGGCTCGCTGTAAGCAGCTCATCTGCGATCCCAGCTACGTCCAAGACCGGGTAGAAAAAGTGGGCCAGGTGATCCGAGTGATCTGCATCCTCAGCCACCCCATCAAGAACACCAACGATGCCAACTCCTGCCAGATCATCATTCCCCAGAACCAAGTCAACCGGAAGTCAGGTGAGCTTTGAAGATCCAGCAGCTGCTCGTAGAATTTTGTTACATATAATTTGCTTCATGTTTTGCTCCAAGCTTCTAATTTTATTTGCTCCTTTACAGTGAAGAAACTGTAGGTTACATAGGAGAAACAAGGCCTGATCGATCCCTTTTAGCTCAAAGAGATCCTAAACCACGCTGCAAGGCACACACGAGTCCCGGAGCCTCGGCTTGGACCTGTGTGCTTGTCCAGAATGAGGAATCGAGGCTGGACTAGAGGAGCATGGTGTCCATGTGTCTCGGCTCAGACATTATGTGCCTGTGGAGGTTTCTGTCATTAGCTGACCTGACGCCACTGTGTTTTTGCACTGATGACATTGTTTTTATATCATTGTCAGCAGAATCCTCGAGTTTAGCAGCGTGCTGGAACAACTTTCCGTGGTGAAGATCAGGACTCCCTTCTAAAATTGTTAATTCCTAAGCTCTGCGGCTGTTTTCATCCCCTGCCTTTTTCCATCTTCCTTCCCGATAGAAGCCCTAAGTCTTACTATCTTCATCGAAACTTCAGCTTAAAAGAGGTTATGACCTTTTAAACACACCATTAAGAGCTGTTGTTCCACGGGAGCAACCAGAATCACGGGTTGTGACCAGAACCAAGGGATGTTCAGGGGCCCAAGCAGGTCACAGGGTCTGTGAAAGTCTCAAAAGAGCAGAAGGAGCTCAGTCATGATTTTCTGTATTGGAAAATGAGTAGTTACTGAGTGGGATACAGGTAGAATTCTAGGAGTTTATTACAGAGAGCGCGCGCAGGAGTTGCAGAGAGAGGGGGAGACACAGAACCTGAAGCAGGCTCCGAGCTGTCAGCACAGAGCACCACGCTGGGCTCGAACTCACAAACTGCTAGATCACGACCTGAGCTGAAGTTGGACGCTTAACGGAAGAATAGCTAATGTTTATTTGCAGTTTTGTTATTTTAATAAGTGAGAAACCAGTATCTTTATAAATGCAGGTTTGTCAGGCTCTGCACTTGGCTGCAGCCGGGCTGGGAGAAGAAACCTGAGCCTGGCGGTTCATGGGTCCACGTGTCTTTCCCGCCAGCGGGCTAGAAGTCGCTGGAAACTTGCAGGCTTTTGCATACGACGCAGCTTGCCTAGAAGATTCGGTCTGTCCCAAGCAGTTTTCACACACACCTCTAGGAGATACAGGAGAAGCCGGAGCGCACATGCTGAGGTTTATAAGCCCCGGCAGTGAGTGCCTTTCCTTGTTTCCAGATATCTACGTCTGCATGATCTCCTCCGCACACAACGTGGCGGCGCAGGGCAAGTACATCGCCATCGTCAGTACGACTGTGGAGACCAAGGAACCGGAGAAAGAAATCAGACCTGCTCTGGAGCTTTTGGAACCGATTGAACAGAAGTGAGTGAGATGTTCATTTCGCTGCAGTCCAACACTGAGATTTGCACAGGGCGTGGGCAGCCGGGGGAGGGCTCTGGTGGCTGGTCTCCCCGCTGGGTTTTGAGTTTCAGGCAGAGCTGGCAGTGTGGGCTTGGGGTCCGCTCACCCGCTGACTCCGTTCTCTTTCCCTCCAGATTTGTCAGCATCAGCGACCTCCTTGTACCAAAAGATTTGGGAACAGAAAGCCAGGTGAGTGTGGCGCTCCGAAAAGGGTGTTCTACGCAGGCTTTAGCAGGAGACACCCCTGCAGCGTCTCAGGTCTCTGTAATTTTTGTTCACAGATCTTTATTTCCCGCACGTACGACGCTACGACTCACTTTGAGACAACTTGTGACGACATTAAAGACATCTATAAGAGGATGACTGGATCCGAGTTTGACTTCGAGGAAATGAAGCGCAAGAAAAATGACATCTACGGGGAAGACTAACGGCAGTACATCTCATCATCTCGTTAGGACAGACTTCCCTTTGGCAAATGACGCGTTCCGTATGAAATCCATATTGTAAGGCCTGCTTTTGTAATCACCACGGAGATTGCGGAGCACGGCACCAGTCCATGCTCCTCCCTTTCTAATATCATGTATTCACGTGTTTTCCCGGAGTGGCTGTCACAGTTGGCAGGTGACCACATTCTGTTCGGTTTAACCCATCCTGGCTTTTTTTTTTTCTCCTAGTGAAGCATCCGTTTAAAAACCCTCGTGATACGGATACAGAGCACTTGATACAGGATTTGTATCTTTTAATCAGTGTAGCCTTTGCAGGCGCGCTGCTGCTCGAGAGTCGGGTTGGTGGTGGGCCTGCTTTCTGTCCTCTTGACATTAAGGAGAATCAAAATGGACTATTCCAGAATTCGGGACCGCCTCCCTACGTCCTCCCTACACCTTCACATCTCGTATCCTGTCAAGTATTATGACAGCACCCACGTAACACGGCCACAAGGCGGGGATCCGTGGGCCTGAAATTCTAACACAAGTCCAGACCATAAGAGTCCTTTTGGAGGAAGCCCGTGTGCGGTGGTGTTTTAACCTGATAAAATTAAGGAGAGCAGAGGGGAAGGAAACCTATCGTAAAGCAGGTAAACGTAGAAGCTTCTTTTGTATCCCAGGTGTGGCTTCTTCGACGGACCAAGCTGCGATGCAGTATTGATTTGACAGAGCCTTCATTTCAATGATGTCTGTCTCCAGATGGCTCCACATGATTTCTGTGCTGCAAAATAAAGCCAAACTCTGGAAACCGGTTCCTTCTCGGTTGGTCTGTCTGTGTTCCAACGTCAAGAGCTAGTGAGTCTCGTACTGGCTGTGGTGCGGCTGCGCGGATGGGGACGCTGGGGGCACGCGCAGGGTTCGATGGGTAAACATGCCTCTGGCCTCACTGTGAGTAGACCCTAAATTACGTTCTTGACACATCCTCCTGGGGGGCACAGAATCACCCCAGGTGAGAACCCACCACTCTCCCTACAGGGAAAGATTGTCTGAAACCCCAGCGAGCCCTTCCCCACCCGGGATTCAGGCCGTGAGCCAGTGGGGCAGGCGAGGGACCCGCTGGGCTAGAACCACACAGAAGGACTGCGAGGCCATTTTCACATTCCTCATTGGACACAGTCATAAACACCTGTCATACCTGGATGCCAGGCCCGTGGGTACGAGGAGGGTGGACACTTACCCTGCGGCTCAGTTAAGTGGAAAAGCAGTTCTAGGAACGGGTTGTGGGAGGCCTCTCCCAGCAAGGTAGAGGCCCAATTTGAAGGCTCAAGTGGACCAAGTACGGTTACAGCCCCCTTACTGGATGGCTCAGTGAGCGGGTGTTTCTAGGAGCCCACCTTCCTACGCGGCGGGAGGGCTGCACCAGCAGGTGGGGGCCCAGTGGTAAACGTGGAAGCAAAGTCCTATTTGTTAAATGGCCTAAAAATGCCAGAAGGTTCCCCACAGAAGGAGTCACAGAAACGATTTTTAGTGGTCTTTATTAAAAAATGAAACAAATGGGTTAGAAAAACCTCTGTTCCAAATGGATACTATGTATCTCTACAAACATTTTTGCTTGGTTTTGAGTTTAAAGATTACTGTAGAAATTATTTCTAATACCATAAATAAATGATTTTCTTCCTCAGAGGGTAGATTTTGTAGTGCACCATTTACAAAATCTATGTGGAAAATGACAATTCATAAATTTGTCCCATTTAACTTCCTGTAGTGTTGCTAGAGTAACAGCAAATAAAACCAAGATTCCAGCGTTTACAAGGGCGGTAAAACCTTTCAAACGGGCTGTAACATGCACTACATGCGCCTCTCCGACCCTGACATGCAAAAACAAAGCTATTGGTTAAAATAGACTTCTTTTTGCTACAACTAAGTAAACGTGTTTGTAAAAGTCCTTATTTTTAACGTTGAGCTTAATTAATAGCTTTGAAGGCTCTTTGTATAAAATGAAAATAATTTAAAATAATATTTAACCATACATCCCAAAGCTGGTAGACAGCTGCTGTCCCAGTGTGAATGAAGTCCAAGATTATAGAGCAGAGTGTGAAGAAATGAAGTGAGGAACACTCCCATGTTGTAGAACATTGACTGTTCAAATAGGAGAAAGCTGTTTATCTAAAAAGTTTTCAAAGTAAAAGGAAAGTACTAGCAAGCTGCAGCTGAGTCCTGGGCGTCCACGCAAAAATGGTCATTCCATCTTTTTAAACAGTAAACCACGATAACCAAGACCTGTTTTGTAAATAGGATTCAACACCGTATCTTCTGTCTTGGGAACAAAATGAACCGCACGTGAAAATGTGTATCGTTTAGAGGAGACGGAGGCCCCTAGAGGAGATGATCCTTCAAAAATTCCACTTCATGCTGAACCAACAGCATTGCCATCCCGAATACCAATTAAAAATTTATAGCATGATGTACATGCCAAAGAGTGGAGTTTTCAAACAGCTGGCTTCCTCACAGAAAAGTCCGTATGGGTCCCGTCCCGCTCCCACAGGAGAGTTCTGGCAACTGTTCTTACCAATAGCTACTCTTAAACGGAGCTGCTATTTTTTGTATGTTTTCAATAAAGTTATTTATATCTGTAACAAGGATGCCGCTGTCTTCGAAGACTTCTCTGGAGATGGTAGGCTTTTCTGTAAAAAGAAAAAATAGCCTTTTCTGGTGAAAAAGCCCATTTATACATATACTTTTTAAGCATCACAACCCCTTTTATTTAAAACACAATTTTTATGGAACCACTTAATCCGTGGCGGGGAGGGTTCCAGGGAGAAAAGGGTATGACGTCCTGGGAGCAGGCAGGGGCCCCTAGCACCACTGAGAGGGGACTGTGGCCCTGACAGCTGGGTGACCAATCACATAAGCCTGGAGGTGCCAGGAGACCCGTGTCGCGGAGGACCGCCAGCCAGCCAGCCCGCGGCGGCCCCGTGCGTGGGCGCAGATCCCGAACGGCACCTTGATGACCGCCCCTGGACCCTTCCAGAGCCGGCAGAACGGACACCGGGGGCCACTGAGTGTACCTGTGAGGAAGACCGCGAACCTGGCGTGCACGTGCTGAACTTGCAGGTTGAGCAGACATTTCAAATGTTCTGCTTTCGTTGGCGATCGAGAGTCACAGTGGTGGTAATGAAGCAGTTCGATGAGGCGGGCACTCTGACAGGATTTCAGTATTAAATTCTTCTTCCGCGCAACCGAATCCACTCTGGAATGGACACAGGCGGTAACCAAATGCGGATTCCCTGTCAACCTGCTGCCGAAGGTGCCTCTTCACCACCTCTGAACTCTTAGCTCTTTGATTCCCACGCCCCGTGCCTTCGCTGCACTTCCTCTGACCGCGTCCGTGAGGGCACGGAGGCCTCCGGACGTGCCCTCGGCCTCCTCCCTTCTTTGCCGCGGGGCACCTGACAAGCCGGCGTCCTGGGCGCCCAGGAAGCACGGGCCTCGCGGCAAGCAGGGCACGTCCACACGCTCCCCTACCGCGCCTTCCGACGACACTGCGGGGCGGGCCCAGCGGCGCTTCCAGAGCTTGCTCTGCGGGCCCCGCACGGCTCGTGAGACAAACACCCGCGTGCTTACCCTCAGGGAGCAGCAGGGATTTTCTCCACTTCTCCGCTCTCTTTAAATCCTGTAACTACCACCGGTCTATTCTTCGTCTTCTGGGGGCAGACGTTTAACTCAGAAACACCCCTCGGTCTGCTCTCCCAGCCCGTCACCGGCCCCTCTCTCCTGCGGGCGGGGCCCCACGTGTCCCCACACCTCCAGGGACCAGCACGATCGATCGCGGCCACAATCCCGCACCTGCTCCCAGGCTCCGCCCTTCGCAGACACACATTCCCGCGGACGCTCCAGGAGCCTCCCGTTCGCCGCCGCGAGACGGCCGGGCGGCTGGTTCGCAGTTGCCGATAATCACCCAGGGCTACAAACGTTAAAACCCAGGGGTTTTTGGGTTTTAGTTTTACGTGAATTCCTGCAAAGGACACAGTGAGGGTTCTGCCCCATGTGCGACGGGACCACCTGAAGGGCACAGCACAGCGCCAGTGACGAGCGTCCGTTTACCCAAAGTCCCACGAACGGGAGGGCGCTTATCCCTGCCAGCTGACCAGGTGTGCGGTGGCCCCTCGGAACTTTCCTGCACTTGACCCTTTCCTCTGACGTGCCCGGTCACCACCTCCTCGGGATCCTGGCCACAGCCTCTGTGCTCGCCAGCTCCTCGGGGCCTGCACCCCTTCCTTGACAGCAGCAGCTCTGGGGTCCACTTGGACCTCCTGCCTCACTTTTCCCCTCTTGCACCTACTCCTAGGTATGAGCCCGTCCGGGACCCCTGTTCCGGGCCGCGTCCCTTTCCAGATCTCTCGCGTGTGCGGTTATACACCCATGTCTGTCCTGCACAGGAGAACACAGTGCAGGGAGACGTGGTCATTTTAGACATGGGCACTCTGGGCTCAGTGCCCAGCTTCACAACTGCCTGTGTGACCCGGATCTGCTCTGTCCTCACCCCACTGTGCTTCCACAGCTGCATCCCCGAGGCGAGTCTTCACCGGCCACCCGCCAGCGCCGCGCTGGCCCTCGAACGGGAGGGGGGGGGCCCGGGGGGGCCGGGGGGGCCCCCTCCCGACGCCAGACCCTCGTGTCCGCTCCTGCCTCCCCCACGCCGCAGCTCTCAGCAGCTGCACGTCTGAAGAGGCCCGCCCGCTTCCAGTCTCGTTTCGGGGTAAGATTTAATTGAGGATGCATCGCGGCCTACATGGTGCCACTGGAAGCAACACCCGCATACACACCCGACAAAGCCCTGCGGCCGCAAGCCCAGGCTCGGGCTCTTTCCCCTCCATTCACGGGGTGGAGCCTGGCCTTCGCTCCCCGCACCTTCCAGACTCGCACACCTGACCCCCCGCTGGCCCTGAGCGTGGGCCTCACACTCCAGACGGCGGCCCCACCCCCGCTGCCTTCCCCGAAAGCTCCGCCCCAGGGAGCTGAAGGTGGCAGCCAGGCGTGCAGGGGCCGCGGGATCGGGAACCCCGGACACAGACGTCGCCCCCACCCCCCACGCACAGGCCTCACCTGACGTCTTCTTTCAGCTTCTTACTCTCCCGGTGGTGAAGCAGCCACTTCCACCTCCCGCTGCCGTTCAGCTTCTCCAGGGTTTTGACGACGTCCTTCAGCTGAACTACAGCGCGGGAGGCAACAGGCCTGGTCGGGCTCCCGGCTCACGCAGGCGGAGCCCAGCGACGGTTCCCACCGGAACCCCCGGGCCTCAGCGCACCACCTCTCCCCCCTCCACCGCCACCTCCTGAGGCTAGGACGCGGCGGCCTGTGGTGGTCCCTCGGCCACGGCAGGAGCGTCCGGCCATGCGGACGGCACCGGCGGGAGCACCCACTGCACCAGAGGAAGACGGGGCTGGGTTCCCAAACAGCAACCCTAAGGCTACTTTCCAAGTCCGGTTCCTGTGCGGAACTCACACCTGTGGAGGTGACCCTCCCCCGCACCCCACCCCCCCACTCCTGGCCGCAAGGGGCGCCTGGGAGGTCTCGGTGCCACCGGTTCGGGCGGGTTCTGACCACACCTGAAAGCCTGCCGGCTCCTGCCCTCCATCCGTGCCCAGCCCGTGCCCAGAGAGAAGGGAACTGGGAGTGTTTGGCACATGCTTAAGACGACTGTTCAGAGCCACTTGGTTGACTTCCCGAACATCAACAAGACGGCAGGGGTGAAGCAACAGAAGCCGCGGGGGGGGCGTGCGGATGGGGCCGTTACAGCGAGTCCAGTGTGA